GTCGCCCCACTGGCCCCCTCTGAGAGAGGGCGGGCACGGAGGTTCAAAAGAGAAAATCCCCCACGAATCCGAAGACGGAGTCTGCCACAGCACGCCCTAGCTTCCCTGGAGGTGTAGCGTCTACAAAATCGCCAGGGCTCGAGGACCCACTTCTGCCCGCCCCGCTCGCCCACGCCTCGGCCGCGGGCAAAGCCAGGGCAGCGACGCGCACGGCGCATTCTGCTCAAGACCTTCTCACCCTGGGGCACGCTAGGCCCGACAGTCAGAATGTGGCTCTCTCTCTCTCTCTCTCTCTCAATATATATATATATATACATATATATATACCATCCCAGTGAGCCAACCTTCACCGCAGACAGTGCAGTCAGAGAATCTGGCGCGATGACTGCGGCAGGGTCTCCGGCCACCGCGCCTCCCCACCAGGGGTGGCCAGGCGTCCTGTCACAACAGAGACACTTGTCACCGAATGGGCATTCCTCCCTCCTTGAAATGCCAGCACGTTCCGTCGCCTTTGTCGCCGCCCTTTTTGCTTCGGCCTTTGCCACAGCCCTTCTCTCATTTGCGATCGCCTGGCGCACAGCTCTTCGCGCTTTTCCCAGCAGCTTCGGCCTGCGCCCCAGATCGCTCATAAGGGGGGGAGCCTGTCGTGCATTCAGACGGTTTCCTTCTCCACTTATCTCGGGGGGACTTTTCCACACCGGCGAGTCCCAGGTGGTCTTCTCCGCCGCATGTGCGATTGCAGGTTCCCCGACAGCGCGCATGGCAAGGCGACTTCTGTTCTCCCGCCGCAGAGGAAGCGGAAGTCTTGGAGGGCGCTCCGGAACACTGAAAAGTCTGAGACGATGCTTTTGAACATCGTGGCGTTCCCACCTGCGGACCCAGGGTGGAACCTGGGCCCCGGGCACCTGTTTTCTCATTCATTCCCCTTGCACCTCCACTGTCCTCCTGGTCTTTTTCTGGCCTTCCGAACCTGACCGTCCGCTTGGAGCTGGATGGCAAGACCGCGTTTGAACAAACAATTCCTAAGATCGGTGCGCTGTCCAGCCACGCGCATCCTGCACGGGGCCTCTTTCTTGGGCGCGCCATTATCCATGTGCCGGCCGACCTGCTCGCTTCCTGCGGGGGCGACATTTCCAAGCACCCCATCGGACATCAATTGCCCTCATCGCTCTGTTCGATTCCAGCATTGGCCGACGGCACCGAGGCCGGCCCAAACAGCGGCTGCGAGGAAGCAGGACAGACAGGCGCTGGCGCGCGCCAGCGCGAGGCCGACGGCCATGCCCATGAAGGGGTCTGTGTCCTTACCAGGGTTGCGCGGCGCGGCGTCGTTCCGGCGCCCCCAGCGCTTCGGTCCGTTCGAGGGGCCCAGCGCGGCGACGAAACGCCCCATACTGAGCCAGAACTGAGCCAGGCGTACCCGAAGAGCGTCTCCTCCGATTGGCCCTCTTGCGGGGTTGGCGAGTCGCCCTCTGGGGCCTCCTCCTGCGGGGTCCCCTCCTCATCCTCGTCCAAATTCCCATGCGAGCCCTCACGCTCGCCGGCATCCTCGGAATTTTTGCCCGGTCCTCTGGGCACGGCGGCCCCGAGAAGGAGTGGGCATGCCTCCTCCTCGCCCCCGGAAGCGCAGACCGTGCCGCCTGCCTCTCCTGGGGGCGGGGCGGTGGGGAGGCCCTCGCCTGGTGCTGCGGATCCGCCCCTGGGAGCCCTTCTGGTGCTGCTGGCTCCTCTTCGCCGCCGCCCGAGTGGTGGGGTTGCCCGTCGCCGCTGGGGGCTTCCAGGTGGTAGCCCGCGACAAACCCCGCGGCGGCCCCCGCCGCGATGTGGGGGCCAAGCTGTGGCAAGCTCTGGGCTGCCTCGGTCCGTCCCTCACAGGGGAACCTTGCAAACCTGTCCGTCCAGGCATCTGATCCCCGGCATGGCCGGCCCTTGCTGATCAGGGGTAAACCCTTTTCGTAAAAAGTGTAACCAGCTCGAGCCCCAGAGGCTGCGGCAAATGAGCAGAGAAGGAGAAGAGAGGGAGACAGGCGAGTGGCGAGCCGGGGAATCCAAATGTGACTGGCTAATCCATCCCTAGTTCAACGTCAAGAGCTGCGGGGTAAGACTTTGTTGTTGTGTTGAAATTGTCTCGTCCAACCTTCAGGGCTGCGGCGCAGCTAACATGTCATGTTAAATAAATCGGAGGAGTTAGCACAAGTTCACTTAAAACTAGCATGCTGAATCAAAATATAAGTTGAATTATGTAGGGGCCTTGTGGTGTGGAGCTGGTAACGATTTTCGCATGTCTGGTCGCGTTTATGTTCATGCCAGGCGCATCATATGATGTTTTAATGTTCGGCGGGGCCTATGATAAACAACGTGTGCCTTTGTGCATAGATATATATATATATACTCAGAGATAGAACATACACATACATATACGTATGCATGTCTACAGTCACATAGATATAATACACATAGCGCGTTAAGACATTCTTAGTCCCTAGTCCCGATAACATATCTGCAATATCTTACGATGTATAGATGTACACTACTATATGAAAAAGAATAGTATAAATATGTACATGATATCTCCCATCCGTCTAGCACCTCCCAGATATCCCTCCTGTCCCTCATGTCCCCCGTGTCCCTTAGCCCTCCTACCCATCACATCCAGCATATCCCTCTGGTCCCCCGATCCCTTTCCATCAGATGTCCCTTGAACAATTGATCAAAAATATCCATCCCAAGGGGTCTTACCCCTTCTATCCCGCATGTACACGTTATGCCTTATCCCTTATCCCTCAAATCCATCTTAGCCCTCTCAGCCCTCGTGCCCACTCTGAGCTTTGGATCCCCCCTCTCCCGAGGCCTCGTGGACCCCCCTGGTGCTTGTGGAGCAGCCCCGAGCTCTGCGGAAGAGCCGCTGTCGTGACACAGGGCTGGGCCTGAACGCTGTTTTTCGTGACACAGGGCTGGGCCAGAACGAAAAACAAAACACAGCCAAAGTCCGGCAAAACAGCGTTTAGGTCCAGCCCTGTCGCGACATCGTGGAACCATCTGCGGCTTCTGGGAACAGCGCTCTGAGGCCGGGGTACGCTTGTGGAACGGGCCTCGGTGGCTCGACGACTTGCGCCTCGAGGTCCCTGCGGGACGCGCGCGAGGGTTTGAGAGGGCCGGGGGGGGGGGGGTCAAACAGCCCTGACGCTCCGAGATGGCCTTTGTGAAGCGGGCCTGGGGCCTTCGTCGAACGGGCACGAGGCCTCTGTGGAACGGGCCCCCTCTGTGAAACCGGCCCAGCCCAGGGCCCTTGTGGAACGAGCCCAGGACCTGCGGAACGAGCCCAGGGCCTTTGTGGAACAGGCCTGGGGCTTCTGTGCAAGGGGCCCAGGGCCTTTGAGGAAAAATCCCCTCTTCGTGGAAAGCGCCCAGGGCTTGTGTGGAAGGGGCCGAGGGCCTTTGTGGAACGGGCCCTGGCCCAGGCCCTTTCGAGAACGAGCCCAGGGCCTTTCATTGGAACGGGCCTGGGGCCTCTGAGGATTGGACGCAGGGCCTTTGTGGGACGGGCACCCCTCGTGGAAAACGCCTGGTGCAGTGTGGACCAGACTCGGAGCCTTTGTGGAACCGGCCTGGACTCAGGGCATTTGTGGAACGAACCTGGGGCCTTCGTGGAACGGGCCGGGGGCCTGTGGAACGGGCCTGGGGCCTTTGTGGAAGGGGCCCAAGGCCTTTGTGGAACGGGCCCCCCTTTGTGCAGCGGGCGTAAAGCCTTTAGGAAACGGGCCCCCTTTTGTGGAATGAGCCCTCTGGGGCACCGAGAGGCTTCGCATGGGCCCTCCAGATGGCCCCAAGAGACTCCCAAGAGGGCTTCAAGATGGCTCCAAAAGGCCTCTACAGATCTCAGGATGGCCTCCTAGATGGCATGAGGTATGCTGAGATGGCTCCAGTTCAATGAGAACGTGATCCATCAAACTGACCTGCGCTAACCTGCGCTAGCCCGCGTGACCTGTTCTGACCTGCGCAGACCTGCGCGCGCAAGTTCCTTGGTAGCACTTCAAGCCGCAATATGACTTTCAGAAAATAGCACATCCAATGTTTCGCGAGTCTGCGACTTTGTGCGATGTATACTGCTTGAGTGGCGCCGGCGGCAGGTTTCAGTTGTGGTTCTCTACTCCTTGCTCATCACAAGCCAGCGCCATCGGCGGTCTCATGTTCTGGCTTCTGCTTGTCAGTTCTCTCCAACACAGCCCCTCGCTCATATCCACGCCTGCGGGGGTCATGGTGAGTGGACTTGGCTTTCAAGAAGTTCCCACCTCACATAACAAAACCTAAGGGGACGCACAGAGACATACTACTGCTGTATGTCCTCCTTGGAGACGCGCGTCCGACCCGAACGTATAGTGTACCCATCTTGTAGTATATGGTTTCGCGAGCGGTGCGGCCAGAAAGCGCCCACCACGACGCATATACTATAAGACTTCTCGGTGCGCGCGTCGCCCCTGGGGGGGGATGCACATCTAGTATAAGCATGTTGGGGCGACGCCGAGTACACACACCAGAACTGTTGCTTCGAGCGACCTCCCCCGAGAACGCGAGGCGGGAGCCCCCGGGAGCACCGGCACGCCGTGGCCCTGGCGGCCCCAGCATGCGGTCGTGAGTCGCCGAAGCCACGAGGCGGGAGCCCCGGGGGGCAACGGTGCACCTTGGGCCTGGCGGCCCGGCGACGTCCTTCCTCCGAGCCTCGTGAAGCGTCGGGAAGCGAGCGCGCAAATCTTGCCAGTAAGTGATCGAGCATGTCCTGGGGCCCTCGTCTGGCGCCCCCCTTGTGGAGGTCCTGCTGCTGCTGCTCTGGGCGTTCCCCGTGCCCCTCGAGCAGCACCTCCTTGCTGGTGCCCTCCAGGGTGCGTGGAGCTACACAGACATCTTTGCTGGTTCCTCGTCATCTGACGCAGCAGCTACTCGAAACTCTTCCAGCCTGGCCTCGGGTGATGCACGGAGCTAGACGAAAGCGTGTTACGGGACTCCTGGCCCACACGCGAGCAGAAGGGGTGCCAGGCCAGGTCGGACCGGCGCGAGCTATGAGCGCGCGCGTTCAGGGTCGCCGCGAAGCTGCGCTCCAAAGCGACCAGCTGTGGTGGGCAAGCCCCGCGGTCGTCGGGTCCCCTGTCCCCGCCTCGCCGACGGGGCGGGCCCAACCCTGCACGGGCGCAGCGTGGCCAACCTGAGCTCGGGCTGCCCGCTGCCGCCCGCGCGCTCCCGCGCGGCTGGGCCTCGTGCCGCTGGCCGGCGCCCGCCTGGAAGTCCGTCTCGCTGGGATGCCCGCGCCGCGCCGCGCACCCGCGGTCGCGCAAGCGGGCCCGCGGCCGTGCCGGCGGGCCCCTGTCCCTGGCTGGCGGCTGCCGCCGCCGGCCGACCGACCGTCGGCGTGCACGCGCAGCTGCTCGCGCTGCAGGGCCGCGCGCTCAGCCACCGTCGGTGACCGCAGCAGCCCCCACAGGAGGCCTGGGCCCGTCTGCGGGCGCGGTCGCCACAGGGCGCTCCAGCAGGCGCACGGCCGAGCCACCTGCGGGCGCCGCAACGCCCAGCGTCTCCAGGGCCCTGCCCAGCAGTTCCAGCTGCTCCAGGGGCAGGTCTTCCCCGCGGCTGGTCAGGCAGTCCGTGGCCAGCCTGATGACCCCGGGGTGGGCGAAGGACAGCGCGGCGGCCGAGCGAGCGACCTGCACCACCTGCGCCGGCTCCAGCTCCGAGCCGCGGGCGGTCACTGCGTCGCAGAGCAACTGCAGGACGCCCGCGTCGTAGATGGTGAGGCGCGCGTACGCTTCCAGCAGCCCCACCAGCGCACCCACGCGTGGCGCCGAGTCGCCGGGCGCCGACGGCGCGGGATCGTCCTCGAAGGAGTGCTCGTCCCCCTCGCCATCGAGCAGCGGGACCTCGGGCTCGGGCGCGACCAGGACACGCTCTGGCAGCACCGCGGTGATGGCATCGAAGAGCTGGAGGTGGACCATCTGGAAGTGGCCATACGACCTCGCGACCATGGCGAGCTCGTCTGTCGAGAAGGCCGAGATGCTTCTGACGACGTAGCTCGGCACGTTGTAGAACAGGACCCCGTGGCGGATGTCCACCTCCGCGAACGCGTAGAGCAGTGTGGCCACCGCGCGCGGGTACAGCTCCGAGGCCCTCTCGCAGGCGAAGTCCCCCAGCTTCTCGAACAGGGCCGGCTCCGCGCGGCGCTGGCGGGCGAAGGCGCTGGCGACCAGGCAGGCCGACTGCAGGGTCTGCACCCGGATGCGCCTCGGGACCTCCTGGGCGAAGTAGTCGAACAGGATAGGGTTCGCGAGGCGCAGCCTGGCGTGGGCGTTCAGCAGGAGGGCCACGGACTGCGGGGCCAGCTCCCCGCGCTTCCGGAACGCCTCATCCCCGAGCATCTCCAGCAGGAAGCGGTTGCGCACGCTGAGCCTGGCATAGGCGTTGGCGACGAGGGCCAGGCACTGCCCACTGAAGTCGGGCGTCTTGCGGGACACCTCCGCAGCGATGACGGTGAAGAAACGCTCGTCCGCCACGGCCAGGCGTGCGAAGCCATTGGTGATCATGGCCAAGTGCCGCGGCTGCAGAGCCTTGACCACCTCTGTGACGCGCTTCTTTACAACACCCAGCAATATCTCGTGACGCAAGTTGAGGCGCGCGTACGCGTACACGAGCTCTCCCAGCTGCGCCGCAGAGAAATCGTGCAGCTTCCTCGCAATTTCGCGAGCGAAGAGGTTGAAGACGAGCCTGTGTTGGACGTCCAACCTGGCAAACGCAGCGAGGAAAAACGTGATGTCTGCGGCTCGAAACTGTCCCACGATCATAGGCGTAGCCTCGGCGATGCGGGACATCATCTGGCGATCGCGGAAGCGCAGCTTGGCAAACGCGAAGACGAGCATAGACATGTCCGACGGCTGCATCGTCGGCGCCACCGCAACCGCTCGGGCCGCCAGCGCCCTCCAAAGGCTGACGCTGGTCCTTAGGGGCAAGGGGGCGCACAAAAAAAATACCAACTGCACGTTCATGTCGTGACGACGTCGGCATTGGTTTCTGACACCACGCAGATCGTTCAACCATAGGGTATGGCTGCTCTCCGATAGCATTGCTCGCTCGATAGCGGCCCATTCCGGGCCGCTGACGGCGTTCAGCCTGGAATGCCCCGCTGGGGTCGCCGCAGCGCCGGCACGACACGAGCCTACCGCACAGGGTGGAGGCAGCGGAGGATCAGGGGTGGTGGTGGCGCATACCTTTTCGGCCGCTTTCGCGGGGCATCCTGCAGAGCAGCTCCTCCCGCATCCCTCCTCCTCCTCCTCCTCCTCTTCTTCCTCCTCCTCCTCCTCCTTCTCCCCCTCCCCGGTTGGGATTCTTTGCGTAGCATGTCGTGGCGGCGGCCCTGGTGCCGTGCCGTGCCCTGCAAGCGGATGGCGTATCGCTTGGCAGGCCGGGAGGCTGGGAACGGCCCGAGCCGTGGACGTCCGGGGGC